GCCATGGGAGATTCCAACAGTCTTGCAGACTGTTCTGCAAACTTGCAGAATTTGGCATGTAGGCGAATTCAATAAAAATAATTTGATGTACTTAAGCAGGCTTTGCACCAGCTCTCTTGGGGGGTATTTCCCTACTCCATGGCCAGTTTCACCCACTTTTCACTCCACAAGACACATAGCAAACCTGGGCCTGTCCACAGCTTCTCCGCTTGGCCAGCCCAACAAATCAGACCAAATCAGCACAACAACAACAACAATAATAAAACTAAGCTAACCAACTGGCATGTTTACCGTAAGCTTTGCAGGTGATCAGAGCTGCACACAACTCTGCATCAGAAAGGAACTTCTGGGCCATCGAAAAAGATTTATTATCCCAGGCACTGATGCCTGCAGGCATAACAATATTGCTTCTAGTTCTGGAACGTGAGTGGCTGTTACTAACTTCTTAGGCTTCCTGTCATGCCACATGTTCGTGTTTCCCATGGAAAAACTTCCCATGGACAGACTCTTCAAAAATTTGGTTGTTATGCCCCATAGAACTGAAAACAAAGACACATTACCATGGGGGATGAGGAGAGGGAATATAAAACACAGATGATCCTCAAAATATTTTTCCTTACCTTTCTTCCATTTAAGGTATTTATCAGAGAGATAAACTCGTCAAAAGATATAACTCTCGAATTTCTGCCAAAGAAAAGGCCATTCTCCTGCCCACTCCAAGCTCTACTCTGCATTTCACTGGGCTGAGTCTAATCCTGTGCTCCTATCTGCAGGAATGAACGAGACTGCCTCTGAGGAATGCCACTCAATGCTGGTATTCCTCCTGGAAGGAAATTTTAAAAGACCTTCTCTTCAGGCCAGGAATTCTTTGCTGTTGGACACAGTATACATGCAGAGCTGCACTGCATAAAGACACCCATCTGCTATTTTAATTTTATCTGAAACCTATGGGAGCAATTTCACATAGCAGACTTACTGTAATACAGCCCCCCCTTATGTTACTTCTCCCGTAAAAGTTCTGCGAGACCATATACACAGTCTTTGATCATCTGCATTTTCCTTTTCTTTCAGGCTTGGCAATCTGAACAGAGGCGATAAAATAGGTTCAGTATTCAAGGGGAGGATGTTCTACCAGCTGACACTGCTGCACTGTCTGTTAGCTTTAGAAAAGAAGGTTATGTTTTATAGAGAACACAGCTAAATGCTATTAGTCAACTTGTACTCAATTGTTATTGGTAGAAAAAAAAATCACATACATCTCCTTGGGTAATTAATACAACTTAAACCCCACAGCCTGATAACCTCTAGAAACTCTTAACTATTTCATACAAAGTGCTCTGTCATCCTTTCTGATTTCCCACACAGTTACAGTACTCAGCTAGGACTATCCTGCAGGCAGTTACTCCAGCTATACTTCTTTCCTTAGGACTTGGACAGCTTTCCTGCTCCCAATTAGAAAGTGCTTTGCTCAGGGAAATGATAGCTCAACTAGGTCTATAAACCATTTTCTATATCTTATCTCCTCTTTTAGTTTCTATCCAATTAAGCTGAGAGCTAAAGCTTTTTTGAAACCACAAAATAATAAATTACATCTTGTATATGAAAGACAACTACTGTTTCAGTTCCACAAAGCAGACTTGCAGTATCAGTTGTCTTCATACTTTTGAAGACTCCTTGTAGACTATCACTCTCTGTAGCCTTTTTTCAGCAATTGATTTAGTATTTCTCTCTCAACCTCAGAATCATTCATTGCTTCCCAGTAAATATTGTATATCTTGGCCAAAAAACTCTTTATTTCATTTCTTTTTCAGAGACATACAAGAAGGGGCAGATCATAAATGATGCAGAAAGTTAATTTTATTAGTTTGTAGCCAGATGCAGGACAGATTCTAGAGTATCAGCCCATAAGTAGACTTCTGCACCTAGGCACACGCATAGAAAAATAGGCTGATGTCTGAGAATCAGGGCTGACCAAGATCTGCTGTTCCTTGTTTCTACTCAGTGCCCAGAAGGGCAGCAGTCTGCAGACCAGGTCCTAGAATGGCTCCGTGAAGCATTGTCCATGGAGCAGCATATGAGACATGAAACAGGCACTCTAGTGGACTGAAGGCGATGCCAAGATCAATCCCAATACATGAAAACAGGATAACAAAAAGCACAGACTGCAACCACAACCCCAGCTCTGGAGTATTCAGAACATGGAACAGCACACAAGTAGGAATCAAGACGAGAGTAGAGGATATATAGTATCACCATGAGACTAAACATCTGCAGATTTTAATACTTTAAATTAACTGCAGATACTTTTAATTCCCTTTCAGACTAGCCCAGGACCACTAATCAAATCACACATACCCTCTACATAATGTACTTGGTAACTGACAAGCTGACACTGCTTTCCCATGGTAACCGTCCTTCCTCCCACCCTTCTTCCTTCAGGATGTGCTTCTAAAAGACCTCAGAAGAAACAAACTCTTGATACTCTTTTACGTTAAATGATAGGAAACCTCCCACACCAGTCCACATGTGCTGGGCTGAGCTTCGGGCTCCTCCTGTGCTGCTCTGGTTAGGAGAGGATTTGGAAGTGCAAATCCTTATCTCATAAACCTTCCACCCCCTTTTCAAAAAAGAACCCTTGCATCAGGAAGTTCAAGCACAATTCAAGGACAGCAGAAGAGGGGGGTAGGAGAAAGACAAAGAAGTAAAGTTGCAACGTTCAAATGGTACTTTTACAAAAGAATAAACTGTTCCTTTCTGAAACTGGGACACTGATCGCCAGATGGACATTTCTGGGGAAGGCTTTTTTTCTGTATCCTCGTTGGTGCCTACACCTGTTCCAAGACTCTTGTATTTAATATAAAGCAATCTAATTAGCAGGGTGCTACCTATGACCTATGTCACCAGTTTTTCCTCCTTTGACAAATCAACCTTCAGAGGCCTGACATCCAGTATTGCTGTGTAAAGGCAAAAAAGTACAGATTTCTCTTGTCTGCTTCAGTTATGAGGTTGTGCTTTTATATAGAGGGAAGATGAAGCAGCACACAAGATCTTGATCCTAAAAGAAAATACTTCTTTGGAGGTACTGACCAGTTCTTTTCACCGGAACTGTTTTTAAATACAAGGCTAGAAATCAATCTTGTAATTGCAAGCACTTTGTGTTTTAGAGATCCATGAGCTGAACGAATGTGTCTGGAGGAAAAAGGAAAAGGTTGCCAGCTGCCACTACTCTAAGGCAGCCATTATTTACTCCAGGAATTTAACCTTCCACTGCAGATCCTATTTTTTTCCCTGTGAAGAAGCAGAAGAGCAATATTCAGCACAGGTCTTTTCAAAGACCACCATGTTACAGTATTCTACTCTACAGTGTCTCTGGAAGGAATACAAAGTCCAGCTCCAGGTCTGTGTTCTAGCAGTGCAAACCTTCATTACCAATTATATCCACTTGAGAGTTCACTTCACCACCCACAGATGTGACCTTTTAGCAGATCGACATCTTATAAAAAGCACTAATTATTAACAAAGAGGCCTAGTTTTAAGTGACAGATATCAGACCTGGATTGCACAGGACAGCACCATGGGACACAAGACAAAGCATAGCCACTTCAGTCCTCAAAAACATATGCAAGCTGCAGGCTCTCAAATTAGCTTTCTCCCTATCCATACAAAGAAAAATGAGGTAGTGAAGCCTGGCTTTTGTAGGTTGAGATATGTCCATGTGTAGGTATGTATACACATACATATGTATGTAATTACACCCACATAAAATACACCTTCAGTGGGAGATGTGGTTATTGCTGCATTATTTAAAATTCTTGGAATGGGCCCACTAACACTGGTAAGAGAAGTCAAAAGAAAAGCCAAAGACACTTAAAACGTTAGGTAACTATTCATACTGCACATAAATCATCATTTAAGACATTTAGCTAAAATATCAAAAACGGTCAAAAGGACTTCACAGCTATCTAGCAGTCCTCTATCTGAAAGGCAGCATGCTATTTTGAAAGAAAAATGTAGTAGTAAAGTGCAGCCATTTCTGGAGTGGAGACTGGCAATGGTGCTTACAAGGGTCTATGCTACATCACAGGAACAGCAAGTCTGAATCAAAACAGCAAACCAAAATCTTCTTTTAGCAGGAAAAAAAAAAGTAAAAACCAACTATTTTTAATACCCATTCAGAGTCAGCAGGACTCTCTTCAGGATGTACATGGTAACTTGCATGGTGTTTACCAACACAGAATAAGTTATACAAAACAGAGTTTACCTGCTTAAATTATTGATTATAGGCATAATTTTCCCAGGCACCTGAGAGCACGCCCATCCTATAACAGATTTTATACAGAAGTATAGCAGAGCCAGTAGCAACCTACCCTTCTCTGGGAGTTAGAACTCAAGAGAGGAAACATGATAAAATACCCTTGATGCCTCAGGTAGGCCTGTACTGCCTACAATCAAAGTGAATCCAACTTTTGCTTGCGTCAAGATTTGGATTTGGGAGCCTGACACTTCCCCGCCAGCAGCTGCCTACCTCCCCTGATAAGCAGGCACCTTCCTTCTCAGCAACACTGATGCTGAAGTTTGTCTTTATATAAACTATCACAGCCCTTCACCAACTCTCACCAAAAACAGCCCTCAGACTTGCCGTTCTGCACTCACTAGGCTGTTGCTACACAAGCAAAATGCCAAGTCACTTATTAAAGTTTTATTGGGGGTAAAGATTTGGGAGTTTGGGGGGTTTATTAATCACATCCAATTGACAGTAGCAGCAACCTAGTTCTGCATTAGGCTCTTGCAGCCACAGAAAGTGATATCCCATTGCTCAGGCAGCAAATACAGCGCAGTCATCTGTGTCTCCCATGGGAGAAAATGAAAGGTGAGTAGTGGAAGATCTCAGAGATGGGTTTTTAAGACGGGACTAACTCCTAGAATATGCTGGCCTATTTAATGACACCACAGCTCAATTTCTACTATATACAAGAGATCTAAATTGTCAGTACAGTTATGCCTGCATGTCCTGCTGTAAGTATTCTGAATATACTGGAGTCAAGAAGTCCCTCTACCAAAGCCACCAAAAGTAACTCAGATACCTTCATTACTGTCTTTTGGTGAAAACTTTAATTCTAAGCAGCTAAATAATTTAAAGATGGAACTTAACTCGGAAAGCTTCTCAAATAAATTAAGTATTGAGACTTTTTTTTCCTTTTAATCCTGCGGAATAAAAAAGATAAGGTAAATTCATTAGACGCCAGAATACTTCAGTAAGTTATAGCTGAACAATTCCATTAAAAACCAGCAGCACTGAAGAAAGGGCTAAGTCTGATCAAAATCTTTCTCACTGCTAAGCACATCTGAAAGGAAGAGACTGCACACTTTACTCTCAGGAGTCCTGGTGGAATTTTTACCAACTTAAAGTTTTATATATAAATACTAAGAGTTGATAGATACGGAACCTAACATTAGCTCTCCAGGAGCACAAAACCAACATTAACAGCCAGAAGTATTCTATGCACTGACTTTTCTAAAAAAACTCAGATACTGTAACAATACACAATGTGAAAGTTTACAGTTTCATTTGCCAACTTTTCAGTGTGTTTAGTGACCTCCAACCTGCAGGGGAGACAAAGTTGATACTTCAGGAGAAAGAAGTTTCACCTTCTTACATATTATAAGCAGAGCTCTCTCCAAACAACATCACTGTCCCCAAGCCTTATATCTATAAATACAAATAAATACACCTTAAATAATGTCATAGAGGGATTTTTGTGGTATAATTCTGCTTTTTAAATTGATTTTTATAGAAATTCAATACTTGGTAGTGAAGACATATGAAAGAAATACTCTACGGGGCTTAAGACAGAGTTTTAAGTGCACTACTGCCCTCCACTGGGCCTCATCAACGTCTGCTCCAATACCTAGAAACCATCTAACAGACCCTGGAGGGAGCTGCCCCTCCAGACCATCAAGACTGTGATGTGAGAGCTCAAGATTTTATACTAATGCAGAATAATTGCAGCAAGTTACTGATCAATATATATAAATTGTGATAATTCATCACCTTAAATGCTACAGCAGTTTGTTCCTTCCCTCATGAGCATCAGGAAGAGAATCCAAAAATGAGTATCAGCATCAACAGCAGAGCTGGTCTGTGGGACAAAAGGACAACACTCTGATAAATACAAGTCAACCAGCAACTTTCATATACAAAAATACTTAAAAGTGTTCGTGTTATTGTTGCAAGACTACTGCAGTTTATAATGCAAAATTAAGCATACAAAACTAAATAGGATCTTAATATATTGGTTTGATTTCAGTGGAATCAAATGAAGGATGGGTTTTACTGTTAGAACAAACCCTGCTTTGGATTATCTTGCACAGCCCCACTTATGGATTCGGATGTATGTTCCAACTACCACAGCTTAATGAGTTGCCATGTGTAAACTAAACTGTAACAGGCAGAGCACATAGTTTTAACCTCAATCATCATGAGATAAAACACACAGCTTAAGCCTCATCATAAAAAAAAATTAAGCAAAACTATCTTCATTTTCACATGTGACTGCTAATAGCAGACAGAAATTCAGCTACTGAAGACCAGTGAAGGACAGAGAACTCACTAACCAGTGATAATCATAACCCTATATGGACCCTAACAATAAATTCAAACGTGATTAACAAAGTTTTGTCTTAATAGTATATTTTAATCCAATTTACATTTTTATTTTAACCTAAATTAGCAAATAAAGTAAATATAGCCTGAATTTGTCTCTTTAGGTCTACACAGATATGAATCCAATCCACTGAGTTATGTAAATAGAAAAAATACCCAGAGCAACTGAAGGACAGGACTGGAGAGCAGAGTTATAAATCATGACCTTGATCAATCTGAGAAGTGGTCTGAGAAGGGTGGCACTCAGCAGTGGCCAGACCAGGCACCATCAGGGGCACAAAACTGAATGAAAATAGCTGTTCTCAGAATGTAACTTCCACATCCTCTTTGATCACAGACTTCATAAAAATGAAAAAAAAAAAAAGAAAAAAAAAAAGAAAAAAAAAAAAAAGGGGGGAATACTTAG